TACAAAGATTTGAACGTATCAACTATGGCAGAGACTATCAGCGAGCGAAGTAAGAGGCATCAGACGAGACTGAGCTAACTTACAAACCTACTTTCAGAGAATATGTTGGACAATAGTGAACATGCTGACTAAAGCGTAAACATAATTTAGATTCATTTAATAGTTGTCTCTTAATTCAGTTAATAGTATATTGTGTAACATTTACTTTGTAAATGTTACACAATCACCATCTGTTGTTGAACCATCACAAATGTTACCATCTGTTGTTGAACAGATTGTAAAATTGGCAGTACTGAAAAGAAAAAAAAATCAAACTTTTTGTCTTAAGTATATAAGTTCTTTTGCCGAAATTACGCTATCGTCAGAAGTAACTAACTGCACTTTCTTGACTTGATTCTGGTTATTAATTCAAGAGTTCTATCTGATTAAAACCTCTAATCACTTGTCTCTGTAGAGCTTTATACATACCTGGATACATTATTACATATGATTGTATATTATGCAACTAGTTTATAATGGTAAACTTTACTGCATATGTAGACGTTTTGAAAACGAGCGACGTTAGAAGTTGGTAGTGAATGGTTAAAAAGTTTTAACTTAAGATGTCGGACAAACGCCCTCTCCACTAGTGAAGAAGGTGTTGGTCGGACAGATGGTTATGGATAAGGTTAGGGCAGATGCAGGAGTAATATATGGTTTGTTCCTTTTTTATGATGAGAGAATTGCGAGTGAGAAGGGCTGAAAATATATTAATGGCCTAGGCACTTGACCAATTTGGTTGCCTACGTTGATTTTTTTAACAGCAGCATTATAAAATAAGATAACTCAAATTAATTTTTGGAAACAACTTTATTACGTCAGAGGTATTTGACATCTGTGCGAGAAAGCGGTGATTGACTGTCAAATTAACACCATAATTGCCGTAAAGCAAGTTTTTCGTATCAAGGGCCCACGAAACGTGGATTCTGACACACAATATGTTGGGGGAAGTAATTTACTACGTATACGAACAAGAATTATCCTCTTTTCCGTTATCAGGGAACTTAAAATACAAACTTGTCATCCGAAGAATTGCTGTTTTTCGCTGCAGCATTGGATCTCTCTTACTATTTATATACTAAGTATGTTGTCGCTTACTACGTATGCAGAATGTGAGAAGTGAAATTGATATTGAAATACCTATAAAAGATGATGATTCAATACAAAGACCAAGGTGTGTTGCTTCTCCCACAAATAAGGAGTAAAAAATCCAGTGTTACTTGTGTGAAACGTAGAATTGAATTGAATTTGAATTAAATTAATGTCTAATTTTACGTGGCGAGACTCGGGTCATCAAGCCCGCTTTTCCGTGTGACCACGCGAATTTCGTTACACTCCTTTCACAAACTAGCGGAGAAATGAGGTATGTCTAGAGTGACGAACAGGCGATTTGAATTTTAGCTCAGAGGCGTCATTTAGGCTTGAGGATATTTTACATGCAAGTAAATCTACTAACATGGAACAGCATACTTCCCCTCCGAAGGAAAGCGTACGAAGGATATTTTCGCCCCTAAAAATCAACGGTGTCTATCGGGTTTGTACCCGCCAACTTGGGTTTAACAGTTCGATATGCTAACCATTATACTATTGCGCCAAAACGTAGGATGCTGATGTGCAAATTACATTTTAAAAATTTCTGTGAAATGTGCCTAAATGAACTGAAAACCAATTAATTTGCAAGAATTACCAGCTACATATTACTATATTGACCAGGCCCGCCTAATTCGCTTCAAAAGAGCACGAGCGCGTCCGAGTTCCCCGAGTTCAGACGGGAGTTCTCCCTCGAAGAGGGTCGCTTGCGGTGGGAGAGATGTAGACTAACCATTGGGTAGGTAGTGCCTTTTGACGAAAGGCCAAGCAAGTGACCTTCAAAACGGTTCGACAAACGCATCGTGTATGGCGAATCCGATGACGTAAGTTCCCAATTCATCGCAACAAACGCTTTGGTATTTCGTAGGGTCCATTTCTCAATTATATAAATTGATTAATATTAATTTATATGTAAACAAAACGTACACATTTCATTAGTTATTCACGCATTATTAATCTTTTAAAAAAATGTAGCCGGATAAGAAAGTAAATTGCCAAATGAATATTTTTACAACTACTTGGATCCAATTTCAACTTTTTTTAAAAATTTTGTCAAAAATACTTCCGATTTTTTGTAAAATAATTCTTCGAGTAGAGTGACGGACGGTTTGAAAATGGTTCATTTTCGTTGAGCTCTTTGAACTTACGAAAATTACAAAATTTCCAATTATTTCCGGCGTCTCCCTACTACTATTATATTGAAGATTTATATTTTCCCCAGTGAAAGGTCATTAAATGAGACTAAGTACAATTTTTAGAAAATATCACTTGTTTTTGCTTACTATTGCATGAAATATAAAACATTTTTGAGATATTGTTTTCTAACGCACGGCTTCAATTATTTTTCTTTAAACTGTTTCGTCCTACAGAGAAAATAATTAATGAAGTCCGATTTTCGACAAATTCTCAGTATTTATGAAAACCGAAGAAAACTATCAGAAAACATCAATATCGATAAAATTTCAGATATTTTTTTCACGAAAGAAATGTGTCTAAACCATAGATCTTCAAATAGAGTCGAAGACAATTCTTTGAAAATGGAATAGTTTTTTCATAATATTTGTTGTCAATAAAGGAAGTATTAATTTCTTCACAAAAATGGCTCATTTTTTAGATTTGAATTCTTGGATACCTGAAACGGCGCTGAAAGATGTGCGCGTCTCATTTTCGTTGAAACATTAACTTTCGAAAGTTACAAATGATGCATAAATGGTGCTAGTCTAGCTCTACTAGTTTAAATATTCTTCACACGAACCAAACAAAGATATTCACTGATGTTTACGTGAATATTCTGCACATCATGGCGAAAATTTAGAGGATTACAATAGGCTCAATGGTCAACCGAGAATTCGATCACAGACCTCGACCAATATTTTCGGTATGAAAAGACAAATGCTAATTCACAATGAATAATAACGTAGTATAAGCCTGGTTCAAACGGTAGCAAAGCATTTAAAGATCAGCAAATCCATGTCTTTTAACGGACTGGCATAGTGGCTCCATTGCTCATTTTTGACCTTTCAAGAAATAATATACATTTTAGTACAACAATTTAGATTTGGGAACGGATTTGTCAGAGTCAAATACACGGTGAGAGTCCCATAATAAAGAGTTGTGAAGCGCCTAAAAATCGCTCTTCGAGTGGCTTAGAGCAGTCCCGTTTGCAGACACGGGTCGCGCCTTCCGGAAGTGCCGGGGCCAGGGTAAGCGCCAGTTTCTCCCGGCGCCGCCGCCACCTGCGGGGCGCCCCAGGCGGCGTAGGCTGAAACGCCGGAGGAGGCGGATGTGGCGGAAGGCGCGCGCCAGCGGCCCCTGAGCCGCCTCCGCCGCGAACGCCAGCCCCGCACCGCTCAGCCCCGCCCCCAGCAGCGCCAGCACCACCGCCAACTCCCCGAGCGCCAGCGGCGTGGGGCCCCCCGCCTCCGCCGCACCCAGCAGCTCCGGCTGCACCAGGCGCGCCGCCGCGCCCTCCAGCCACTGCTCGATCAGGCCCGCCTGCGCACACCCACACCCACGTCACGTCACACCCTCAGTCATTGGCCTGAACGCTCCTTTCGTATAGCGCTTGAGATGAAGGAAGCCACTGCTCGATCAGGCCCGCCTGCGCTCACCCCCATCAAATGTCACGTCACGGCACACCCTCAGTCATTGGCCTGAACGCTCCTTTTTGTATATCGCTTTAGAGGAAGGAAGCCACTGCACTTTCAAGCCCGCCTGCGCACACCCACACCCACACCCACGCCACAGCCTCAGTCACTGGACTGAACGCTCCTTTCTTATAGCGCTTTAGAGGAAAAAAGCCACTGCTCGAACAGGCCCGCCTGCGCACACCCACACCCACGCCACAGCCTCAGTCACTGGACTGAACGCTCCTTTCTTACAGCGCTTTAGAGGAAAGGAGCCACTGCTCGATCAGGCCCGCCTGCGCGCGCGCACACACACACACACACACACACAAACACATTAGTCCGTCATCCTTAACTTATCTTCACAAAGGACCATTGGTAACCTGGAAGTTATTTGTTTTAAGTTCTGTTATCATCATTTGGAAATCAGCAGGAACGAGTGAAGTTAATAAGTACAATTTGATTATGAAATAAATTACAGAAGTCTCAGACTGCGGATGCACAAAAGGAGCATTACGAATAAATGGTGGAAATGGGAATAGCAAGACGACGCCTTGGGCCACGGGGTAAACAGCTGCAGAGGCTGCAGCTGCAGAGGCGGTCAGGTCAGAAACAACTGCTTCAACATAAGAAGGCGTAAATGATGCGAGTGCATTTCTAATCAAACAGCATGGGCTTCATCAAACAGAAGGCTTCTCAAGGAGTGAAAGCATATGCGACCCGTTAGCGAAGTGGTGTGAAAAAGCACATGGGTGAGCAGAGTGATGGAGAGTGAGGACGGTATGATTGGGATTCTAAACTATCAGCATGACGAGTTTGTTAATTTCCTGTTTTACGAGGCGAAGTTCGGGCCATTAGGCCCGCTCTTTGTTCTGACCACGCACGTTTCGTTGATCTCCTTTCGCCATCTAGCGGGGAAAGAAGGTATTAATCGGGTGGGGAAGCAGGCGATTTTCAATTTAGATCAGAGGCTTCTTTTAGGCTTGAGGTTCTTTTACGTGTAGTAAGTATACAACATAGCTGACTTTACTTCCCATCCAAAGCAAAGCGAACGAATGATTTTTTCACCCTTGAAAATTCACGAGTCCCATCGAGTTTGAACCATCGGTACAACAGCTCAATACGGTAACCGTTATACCACCGGACTCACCAATGGTGAGGGTATCTTTGCAGGAAGGGCGGTGGAGAGGAGACGCAGTAGCGAAGTGGTGTGGGCACGCACCTGGGCGAGCAGCAGGACAACACGGTCCGCCCAGGGCCGCAGGAGCGAGTAGTGCGGGAAGGCCAGTGCGTTGGCGTCGCAGCGCACGCTCTCTCGCACCAGGCGCAGGCGGGGCAGGGCGGCGGGCGGCGGCGGCAGCCCCAGGGGGCAGAAGGCGCCCGAAATGTAGTTCCCCAGCTGCGCGTAGTCTCCGCGTGCCAGGCGCTCTCCCAGGTCCCGCGGCGATTTCTCCTTCTTGAAGCGCGCCTTCACCGACTGGTGCGTCGGGTTCTTCACACAAGCACAAATAAGGATGCCTTCTCACTCTATTGGCTATAAATGAAGAATAATATTGCTAAATCATTTTACTCTCTCGTATATGTACGTATATGCTGTAACGTTCTTCCTATCTACGATTATTGCGTCTGCACTGCTTCGGTTCGACATTTTTTAATATTTCTATCTTCTGAATTATTTTGTTGTCCATTAATTACTATATTTAACCAATTATATTTTTCTTAAATCTCTTTAAACTGTGGCGTCCATTTCTAACAAGTTTAATTTCCGAATCTTTTCAATAATATTGTTTATTTCAATATCCTGTAATGCTTGTAAATTAGTTCTCTAATGATTTATAATTTGGCTAGTTATTTTTTTAAAGATCTTGCATGACTTCGACACACACACACACGTTACCTTTCCTATTGCACAAGAACGTGTGACTCTATACAGAAATCACGATTCCTGGAAATTCTGTGTCATTTACTAATTACTGAATTGATGGCAATTCAATGAAATATCAGCCTTTTTTTTCAAACAACGTAACATTTTTTACAAAATTCTTATGACATATTCTGATATCATTATTAATGAATGGTGTAATAGCCTTGAATCTGGCTGTAATACGGCTGTAATAAAAGATCGTAAGCTTACGGATTGTTTGCATATTTAACAAGATTCAGTCTACTTTCAGCCTAAATAAAAAAAATGACCGACTGCAATACCACAGTGACGAGGGGCAAGGAAGAGTGCTTTCATTGTCAAGTAATTCCAAGAGCTCACCTCGTGATCGAAATAGTGGTCGAGCGGCGGGATTGCGATAAAGGTGCCCCAATAGAAGCCCGCGTCCACGAACTCCTGCAGAGTGTCGACGGGCGGCGGGAAGTGCGGCGCGGTGAGGTGCGCCAGCAGCCCGCTGTTGTACGCCGTCACCAGGAGGATGGCCACGACGTTCCAGCAGAAGAGCAGCGCGCGGCGCAAGGTGGGCCGAGGTGCGGGGAAGGGGGCGGGGTTGGCGGTGGCGAGCAGCACGCCCAGCGCCTCCAGCAGCCCCCCGCTGCCGACCGCTCTCGTCGCACGGGGCCCCTCAGCAGCGCTTCCGAGTGACGCTTCTGGTGGAAAAGCACGCCCAGAGCCTTCAGCCGACCCCGCCTCGTCCCCGCCCTCGCGCTCCTCCTTGCGCATCGCGCTCTGTACAAGCAGCGCAAAGACCCGTTAGAGCCATTTCGCACATCACCCCTCAGCAGCGCTTCCGAATGGCTCTTCTGGTGTCACAGCACCCAAAACGTAACCAGCAGGCTCTCACCCTCAGTCTGACAACGCCACCCACGCCCACACCCCGCCTTCGCGCTCCTCTTGGCCCCGCGCGATCTGCACACGCAGCGCCAAAACCAGTTAGAGCCCCTTCGCAAAGCGCCCGTCAGCTGTGCTTCCGAGTGACGCTTCTGGTGGAAAAGCACGCCCAGCGCTTTCAGCAGTCCCCGCCCTCTCGCTTCTTCTTGCCATCGCGCTCTGTACAAGCAGCGCAAAGACCCGTTAGAGCCATTTCGCACAGCGCCCCTCAGCAGCGCTTCCGAATGGCTCTTCTGGTGCCACAGCACCCAAAACGTAACCAGCAGGCTCTCACCCTCAGTCTGACAACGCCACTCACGCCCACACCCCGCCTTCGCGCTCCTCTTGGCCCCGCGCGATCTGCACACGCAGCGCCAAAACCCGTTAGAGCCCCTTCGCAAAGCGCCCGTCAGCTGTGCTTCCGAGTAACGCGTCTGGTGGAAAAGCACGCCCAGCGTCACTAACAGTCTTTTGCGACTGCCCGCAAGGAAACTTATACTCCCTTAAAAAACAGATACTTTCAGAAAGAAGTACATCCGCAATGAAACGCATAAGGTACACTCTCAAAGAGACATATATCCTCAAAGATAGTGGTACACTTGCAAATACAACCGGTCCTCCCTCAAAGAAACCCGGTCCTCCCTCAAAGAAACCCGGTCCTCCCTCAAAGAAACCCGGTCCTTTTCTTTGGTCTGGGGTAGCTGTTTTTGAGAAAATTATGAAAATGTCCCAGGGACTTTGTGTAAAGTATCTCAAATTTTAAACAACGTTTTTCAAAATCTCAAAGCAAGATAGACAATAGTTTCTTCAAAAGAGAAAAGAAACCTACGTATGATTTAGTCGCTAACGGTGTTCACACATGACGGACGTTTTGCTGTCAATCAATTTTTTGGTATCAAGAACCTCCCAAAAAGGTATTCTGGCTTCACTAAGAAGAAGAGGATCTCTTGCTTAATTTACCAACTGGATTTATCTCTTTTTTTGTTATCAGGCACCGGCAATGTTTTTTTTACGCAGAAAATCAGCCTTTTTTCTCATTCATTACATAAATTTATACTACGAATATTACTCCGTACATACATACATATAAGAGAAAGTAATAAAACATACAAAAGACCGAAGAATTTTTCAAATGGTAGTTGGTAGTAGAAATTGTCATAATATAAAATTACATAGTCCTAAATAATATCGCGAGAAAGTTCGCGCTGTTGTAGAACCACTATATCCACTTCTGTCCTTGATTTCTAGAATCCATTTCTGTCCATTCTTTACTCCTCTTTATATTTCCTTACAGGTTTTGGTGAATTCATCTCTTTGATTATTCTGAACTTGTAATTTATCGTTTTGTTTGATAGCCCGTTTGGTTATTTTGTCAGTTTTTCATAATCATTTTTATTTCCTTCAGATAAGTTCATCGGTTTCCGTTCTTATCTCTCTCGTCTTATTGTCTTTGGGTTTCTTGGCTTATTTTGTTCCTCTTTCCTTTTCCTCTTTTTGCTCCTTTTTCCAGTTTTGGGTATTTATCTCTTTCTGCTTCAAGAATGAATTCCTCTGGTGTTAGTATGCTTTCTGGGTAATTGCTAACTCGGTTATTGCCTTAAATTCGAATTGATGTTTTAGTTCTCTTTGGAAAGTGTTAGTCTGTATATTTTCCGCTTTGAAGTTTTAGATATTTTTTCCAATTATTTTTTCGGCTTATTCTAAATTTCAACCTTAACAAGCTATGATCCGAATTAAAATTATATTGGCCATGATTTGCAAGTTTACAAACAACTCTCTTCTACCGGTTAAAATAGTATATTTCGTTTATTGTGCTTCCATCAGGGGATCACTACGTCCACTTATTTCTCATTTTCTTAAAAAAAATGTGTTAAGTATTTTGAGGTTTGGTTCTTCTGTGAACTTAAAAATAATGTTAGCTTTTTCATTACTCTGTCCGTAACCAATCTTCCCAAATATTTTGTTTTGGGCTTACTTTGCTGTTGAAGTCTTCCCATGACAAACGAAATTCGGTTGTTCGTTTCTTATTTACTGTATCATTTTATCTTTGTTAAAATTTCTATTTCTACAGAACTGCTTTCTGCATATATCTGTATGACCGCAATTTGTTTATTTTTTATTATCAGTCTTAATACGGACATACATTCAGATATGCCTGTGATTTCTTCTATGATGTTCTTAAGGTCTTTCTTGATCAAAAATAAAACTTATTTTTTTCTTTTGTATGACTAATGTAGCTACAAATGTTCTGTTCTCTTTTCCTTTGGATTCTTTTTCATATCTTCTTACTTTGCGAAGTCGTATAATGTCACATTTGTAGTTATTCAAAGCCTGTTCTAATTCTATTGCTCTTTCCTCTGGTCTTAATGTTCTTACGTTGTATGTGGAAATTGTTAGTTATGTATTTCTTCTTACCGCTTCTGGTTTTTCTTTTGATTTTCTCCTCTTTTGGTTTGCAACTTCATTACCTTTCCTTGTACCTTTTTTTGTTCCGTGATTTTTTCTGTTTCGTTTGACCAGTGTTTTCATTATCCGTTGACCTGTAACTTGAGATTACTTAACTTCACTTTGTTGTCTTTTTTCTATTTATTTCTTTTCTCTTTCTCTTATTGCGGATTAGATATCTTTTTTCGTCTTTATCAGGACAGTATGTAGTAATCTATCAATTTGTATTTATTTTTTAGTACCAAAAGTTTCTCCTCAAATGAAGGTATTTTTCCCTTGATAACCTCGTAAGTACCCTCAACTCATTGTAATTGTTTATGTTTAAATTTAAGATAGGAAACTTTTAAAGTAGGTTGAATTACTACGTTAAAAGAAGTTGAAGTGATGTTATTATCAACATTGTAATTTTTTAAATTCAAACGAAGGGTGCGTACACCATTCGCTCTCAGCAGTGTAAATGCTTGGAAAGAAGACGTAATCGACAAATGGATATAAAGAACCGATTGTAGTAGAAGCTCGAATCCCCATCCATCTGGAATTTACGTGAAAAAAAAAGTCCTCACTACGAGTTCATGAATTTTCTGGTTTTACAACATTACAACATTCATTCTACTATTCCTCAACCAGCGGTTATATCATATCAACATCATTATTACTTTCCTATAAATATATTTCCTATATTTCTGCTCATTCTAGAGGTGTCACTAAAGGGTTAGGGAGTGGGCTCGTATTAATAAATAAAAGCAACCCCCTTACCCGGCTGCTGGGCGATGTGCAGAGGGTGGCGCCGGGCGCCAGGCTGCAGGCGCGCCACCGCCAGCAGCGCCAGCCCCGTCGCCAGCAGCGCCAACAGCAGCGCCAACCACACCGCCGGCGCCAGCGGCCGCAGCAGCGCCGCCGCGTCGCCGTACGAAGGCTGCGGCCGCGGCGCCAGCAGTGTGGTGCAGCCCGAGCTCCAAGGAACGCCAAAGTCCAGACTGAGGGACACGAGCAAGTTCAAAGCGAAGCCACCGGTCACGTTTGTAACGCTGTTACGTGTCCAATTTAAGGACAACTCCCAAAATGGTTCGTCATTTATAGTTGGTTGAAATGTCAGTTTGCCATTCAAAACATCTGCTAGCGTCTCCACAATTTTGATCTCCACACCACCACCATTATCTGCAAAGCAATAAACAATTTCGAGTAAGCAATTTATGAACTTGGGTACAAAATTATTAAAGCAGTGATTTAATAATAGTGTGTATAATGACCAGTATAAGATGTCAGAAAATGGAAATAGAGTGAAAATGGCCACTATTAGTTGTCATAAAGAACCACTATGTTTTCGGTAATAGTGGCAATTAATACAGGTAACCATGCAGAGAAAAAGGAGAGCGAACGTCAGGTCTGATTGTTTTTACATTACCTCATGTTTTAATAACACTTCTTTCATTGCACAACTACAATATAACGCAAGCTATGCACATTTTAGCTAACCGTATATCTTCTGAACCTTCAAACCGAGGAGTCCGTGAATGCAAATGATGACTTTTAGAAAACTTTCCGACCAACAGAACTTTCCGAGGTATATGAAAATGAACCACCTGAGAAAGCCAGGTTAAGATGCTAACGGCTGAAAATATATAATACGAAGTGATATTTTTTAATTTGCCGCATACGCACGTATATAAGTATAAATATACATACATGTATATATCACAAAGAAACTTATGTAATGATTCGGAAAATCGATTTCGAATTTTAATGAAAAATGCAATTGTTGGTCAACCCTGCTACCGAAAAAGTGGTTTCTTCCAAAACGCCCGTCTGAAATCTACACTAGCGGCTAAACTATTTTTTTGAAAATTAATATTTCACGAACAATCTGGTCAGATCAAAAGCCCTGCAAATTTGAAATGAATTCTCGAAATTTTGAGAATACTTGGACATATCCAAACTTTTCTGAAAAAAGGCTACATTTGAACTTTTTAGCTATTGTTTACGCATCATAGAGAAGGAATTGTAATGCTTCGAGAAAAATGGCGAATTTATTTCCGGGTCCTGGTAATAAAAGAGTGAATTAAGTATGCCCATGTACATAGTAAATTATTCCTCTCGCATATTGTGTAGTCAGAATTATGGGTGATCTGGGCTGTCCGGGTGACGCCGCGTCGAAGGCTGAGTTGCCGACGTTTCGACCATCCTGTCGTGGTCTTCCTCAGGGCTGGTATGATACCCACATGACTCTGGTCGCGGAAGCCTACGATTTCATTTAGTCAGAATTATGTTTTGTGGGTCCTTGATACCGAAAACCCCATTGAGGGCAAAATGTCAAAATGTCCGTCCGGAAACAGCGCACTGCCTGACAGCGACCCAGGTATACCCTCCCTCGTACACTACCTAAATAATTAATGCACAAAGCGCAGCTATGGGCTGCCTACATTCTGGTTACAGGCAAGGCAGGCATCTAAAACGTTGAAAGACAGAATAGGGATTTACAGAGACAGAACACACACTCCGGACTTCACCCTCTCTTACACCTTCTCCCCTTCCTGCGCACGATCAGACGAAACTCCCGCTGGGGCCGTCTGAGCGCAGCACAACGGAGCGGCGAGGAGGAGCAGCCCCGTCCATCCCCTCTCCTGCTGGAGCCATCGAGTTGACACAACCACGGAGTTGACACAAACGTAGGGGCGTGTGCGGGCGGAGCCTCCAGTGCGGCGGCCCACCCTCGCATCTTCTCGACTCGACCAGGCTTCAGCAGCAACGCCGGGGATGGCAACGCCTTCGAAGACCCCACCATCGCATGCGGCGACGCAGTCACCTTCCGACTGGGGAGCAACACGGAGGAGGGGAATTGGGGTGGGGGGAGGACAGAGTGACTCTGGTCGCCAAGAACCGGTCGTTGATGCTGAGGGGCTTACGTGACGCTTTCCACGGGGCGCTCTCCCAGCGCTAGCTGGAACAGCCTGCCCAGGGCATTGATGCAAGCGATCCCAAGCGGTTGAGGAAGAAAACTACTTAGTTCCGGTAGTCTGGCCGGAACATGAAAATTCCCACTTACCGGCCAGGATAAACTCCTCCCCAGCTTTCAACTACTGCCCAGGCCACGTAACCAAAAACTGTGTGTGGAGCAACACGCAACGGGCAACAAGCATCCGAGAACATTGGTCACGGTACCGTGGAGTGCCGCAACCTGTCACCATTATAAAACGCCCAACATAACATTGGGATTATTTACAAAAGAGCAGACATTGCAATGGGGTGGCAGGTGCTTCGGGAGAATCAGGCAGTGGTGGGCAGCCATCGCCCCTGATCTCGTACTCGCACGGGGCAGAATGGCACTCGTGGTGGACTTCGCAGTGGCTGACGCATGAGAGGGCAGACTTAACAAAGAGACGAAAAGCGTCAAAAATAAGAAGCCACCCGCGCCCACTTTATTACCGTATGTTACCACATTGCCGAAGTGTTCCCACTTGTGATGGGGGCACCGAGAGAATGGTGTGCGGGTAGTGACGCTGCACTAAAGCAAGTTTCAGACAGCCACAAGCCAAAAGCCTTAGGGGAAAGAATAATGAGGCCATTGATGGCAGTGCGCCGTGCTTACTACACGCACACCGGCAATGTACACCTGAACCCCACATGAGTACAAACAGATACACGCCCCCATCCACAGGAAGCTAGCTGCTAGGAAGTGAATTACTGTCAGAAGAGCGGTTGTGATAATCGTATCGAAATATAAAGCGGTTGCTCGCTCGTGAGAAAATATCTTCCACCTTAAGTCATTTACTGATCTTCCCCTTTCCTAAAATTCCACCCACTAACACCCTCCCTTCAAAATTATCCCATGTATCACCGAAAATGCCATTCACAGTTTCTTCTCAAGTACAATGTATCATCTGACCCCTGAGAGAGGAGGTAACGCATGCGGATGTCCATCCCTAAAAGTTAATGTGTAGAATTTTGTGTAATGAACGCCCCTGAAAGGCAGAAATGCCGAGCAGGCAGAAATAAATTTAAAAAAAAAGAAAATATCTAACACGCCACGCCACGATAATCAGCACCTTCTCCTATTGTTTCCCTTTGCACAACTGATATGAACGAAGAACAGATGTAGAGTTGAATGTGCAGGAAGGCATTGTTTGAGCGTTATCTTCTTGCGTTAACACACTTCAATGTTACTTAAATAAATCGAGAATTGTTAGATTTTTTCTAACAGTGCGAGTAACTGTGGTTTAGTTAGAACCGTGCAATTGAGTGCTGGACGTACGCCTGAACTAAGCAAATGTGCATCTTTTTTTATCATTTGCACTGTGCAAGGATGGTAGGCGTTGTACAAGAGAGAAGCAGACGGAAGGCGACGCGAAAGGCGACGACTGCGGTGGAGACGACACATCCTGAAGCAGAGGGTAGCTAGTATATCGTGGTAACGGGCTGATGAGCGGTTCAGAAAGCGCTGAAGTAAAGTTCAAAGCCACGCAGTCGAAAGTGAACTTGTGAATAAAGGGAACGTTTCTCGGGTAAATTAAAGCAGTAGAAGATTTTGTAAAGCAAAAGATTCTGGTCATTTTAAAACTTGTTTTGCCTGTAGAACTGTGAGAAATTTATGTATTTAATTAATGTTATTCAGCTTAACAATAATTACTATAAACGTCCCTAATTCTAAATGGTCTGTACTGTAGGAATATTATAATGAATAATGCATTTCGTATTACAAAAAACTCTATTCTTGTGGGGTGATAGGGCAAGGAGATGAATAGGTTGATTTGTAATAGGTATCGTTGTTTGGCCGCTGTTTTGCGCCGACTAATTCTTAGGTCTTGCGCAATAAATTCTGTTGAATGGCGAAAAGACTTTTTCACTTAAGGAGGAACAGTACACACCGCAATTTTGTCAAACCTATGCGTTTTTATTACATAATCATGAAATGAGGATATGTTTATTGTGTTTAATAAACACGCCTTACATTAGTATTTAGGAACATAAATGACATTAAAATTGGTATGAAACGAATTATTTTTCCCTTAAGGCATATTTTTGTGATTTTATAATTAATTCTTGAATGTTAACTTTTTGCCTTGTATAGTACTTTGTTTGCTTTTTTGAAAATATACTGCAGATCCATTTACATTATTAGATATTTCAATTAATAATCATGAATTTCAATAATGTGATATTTCATAATGTAAAAGAATTTGAGAACGTTATTTTAGTTGTTATTATTTCTTATCGAAATTGCTAAAAAAATTTTGAATTTACATTTCACACTTTGTTTGATTTTATTACTCCAGAATTCTTCTTTGACAATGTTCCATCATCTCACTAGTTAGAATTATGAGTGGACTGTGTAGTTAAGATGGGATTAGTGCTAAGCTAGAGCCCTATGATTACTCAATTGGTATTTGTTTTTAATTTGTTGCGCCTATATCGACGCAACGCGTCTTCTAACTCCATAAGGACCGTTGAATGCACTCGAGTAATAAGCGCCTTCTAGGGGCCGCTGTGTTGTCAAGTAACGTCAGTCATAATCAAGTCAGGAAATCGCCGACAGGTAGCGTCTTCGCGCTCGCGTCTCTCATGCGCCCTATGTCATCTATCGGCCATAAGGATAGAGGTAAGGTTTAGGACGTTTCACAGATGTTGGACTGGCCTCTGTGAAGCAGGCAAACTAGTTTTGTCGTAACGAATTTCACATAAGGTTCTGCGGTTGGTTGGGATCTGATTTGCTGCATCCTTCGTGCATTGTACACACACATACGAATGGATAATTAGCATCCATTCACTTATTTGGCACTTCTAGGCACAAGTACACGACTGCAGTTTGAAACACTATAGACTTGCAGGCTGATAAAATACACCCGCACATGAGGCAGCAGGTTTCAAGGGGAGAGGCTAGAAGTTCTTGTATGAGTTATTAACGTGCACACTGGCACATGTTAGAGAAGTCTGACGAAGCACGACTCGATTGTCGCGCAACCACGAGCAGTTAGAGGGACGTAGTTACTGCCTGGGAGATCCAATAATGTTTTAACTTAACTGACAATAGTTATATTTATCACAGTTTGATTTGTTCCAATTACTGCACAGATTAAATACAATTTGCACGTTAGAGCGAAAATTAAATTGTCTATCAATATTATTTTAGTTGCCAGAAGATACAAATCCTAAAGTCCAACACTAACGCTTTCTGAACGGACAATTGTTGCTAAATTTTACTTCCGCTCGTCGCTGAGACCACAGCTTGCGTATGGAAATATAAGTTTGTACTTGAACAATAGAAATGGTAAGTTTGAAAGTTTTTTAAAACACTTTGAATGGAATTTTCTCGCGTGTGCCCTTCCATCACACAGATACCGACACAGGTGCTTTTCCTTTCTTTGCGTTTGTGTAAGAGAATGTCCACCGTTCGAGCATTGAAAGATACGGAGACTATGCTTTAAATAAAATTTATACAGAAAGTCTCACCACCTAGGTACCACCCCCATAACTTCTACATGGACCACGATATCGAAATGCAGTTTTCGCTTCTCAAGGCGGAAATCAAGGCGGGCAAGTAATATGCTGTAGAGATATGGTTTGAAATATTTTTAGTTGTCGAAAAATTTAATCATCTTTGATTGTTTAAATGGAAGAGCATTTTTTCCTCACTTAAAATAGATATAACATAAAAAGAGGATAGCTATAATGGTACACATATTATATAATATTTTAATACTATAATAATATAATATAAAATTAAATATTATAGTAATATAATATTTGAAGTATAAAATTACACTTTCTCACATGTGATTTAGAATTAAAAGTTCAATATTTCTTGTAGGAGACCGGGAAAGGTGGCTAAGGGATCAACTGACATCCCTGCAGTGTCTCTGACCTGGAGGTCTTAGGTTTGAGTCTCGGTGGTAGGATATTGGCTTGTCAGTTAGGTGAAATTTAGTCTCCAGTCCAGATTTCTCCAATCAACACGGGGCAAATGCCCGAGCAGTACCCTCACAAACGGTCCACGGACCGCGCGCGATCTTTCCTTCTTCACCCTTGTCCTAACCTCACCTCTTACTTGCACCCATTGACACTAACATATACTTCACTATACATGCCGGGAGACCGGTCGGGAGTTTAGAGCTTGACCTGATTGAGACTTTCCGCTGGTGGGAGATACCTCGTTGGAGAGCTGGCTGATAAGTCGGCGACAGCTCACGCCATTCAGCGAAGAGAAGTCACCGCCACCTCCCGAGGAAAATCACGCATTACACGTACGGTACTAATGACCTTAGCAGTTGACGCGCCCGATATCGCCAATCAATCAATTAATCACTCTAGTAACAGCCCTTGCAACTGTCGCTTTTGGGGAATTCCAAATTCTACATTCAGTAATTTTTATTGCATTTCCTTTTTCATCTAACCCTAACCACCTCTACAACTTTAATGTTTGTGATATTTCATCATGTAGCTTGTTGCTTTAAAATCGCTTTCAAAGTTTCCCCAGTTATCATTTTTGTCAGTTTGTTGCTCCATTTGTAACTTTATTTCGTGATAGAAATGTACTCTCATACGTTCCACGAACACTTTTTTAATCGATGAGGAAATTTTCGGACTTCTCTCTCTTTTCCTCTTTATGAAAAATCACTAAAAATAACCTCTTTGCGCCAGAGTACAAATGAGACCCAAAACAAAGACGGTTGATTATGCTCATTGGTTCGTTCACCAGGGACCAGCATTGCCAACCAACTCTCGGATTCATTTAAGTTACACTTCACTAAGAATTGCTTCAAAGTGGGTGGAGAAAGGACGAACAACTAAGCATGTCGTAAAACGCGTCTTAAAATTAAGTATGACTTTACTAAGTTAAAAAACTATATGGTGAAACTGGCTGTGTAAAATATCCGCAAGGAAATTCGCATAATAACGTGATTTTTACTTATTTACAAGAATATTCGTTAAGTTCGAATAAATCGAATTAAGTTCACGGATTTGGGGCAACACTGGAAAGTTTGGCACGCTACGAGTATGTCACACCGAGCGCGTTGTACCGCAGTAGCAAGGTCACTAGCTCTATGCGACGGAAATGTTTTTATTACGTCTGTTTATATTGCACCTTTTATCATGGAAAAGTTAATAATGAAAGATTCGGTACAAATCGCCAAATAAAGACTAAATTCATAGTGTATTCTTATCTTGGTTTTCCCTTGAAATTTCGTTAGTGGAATTCTGTTTTCTGATTGTCGAAGGTGACTTATTGCTTGCACCAACCTCTCAGTGCTCCGTCTCTTTAAACCGTGGGCCACGCACAGTCAGGTCGACCGGTGCATGCGGAGTGGTGCAGTAGTGCCTGACGACCCGTTACTGCTACAGTGCCCGATCATCAAACAACCGGATTAGCAGGTCCAGACTCTACCGCGTAGTTATTTCCTGGTCCGTAGTTATTCCCCCCGCACCGAGCTCCCAACACGTGAGTCGCGCGAAGTGGATTGCGGTCGCTCACCGGACATGAAGGGCGGGAGGTGAGTGACGGCCATGCGGAGCTCTTCCCCGCGGATGTCCGGCCAGCGGACGCGGACGTTGTTCTGGGGCGCGAGCGTCTCGGCCAGCCGCCGGTCCAGGGGCACGAAGCGGCCCGCGGCCCGGTCCGCCCAGAAGGCGCGGAAGGGGGCGGGGCCCGCCACCAGCACCGTGCGCCGCAGAGACGCCACGCCCAGCGCCGAGCGCCGCGTGAAGGACGGATGCAATGCCCACTTCTCAACGTCCGCCTCGTCGTGCGCCACCTGGCGGAAACGGCGCAGACGAAATTCGACGCAGGCACAAAACCAGTCACCGCCAAGTCGGAGATGGAAGGAGCGTCTGTGATGAAGTCCGGTGTCAGAATTTATTACCTTTCAAATGTTAGATTTTTATTCAGTGCTCCTGGGAAACAATGGGGGCAAATGCTAAGTCACTGAGAAATGTCAGTGAGCGCTAACAGAAACGGATGAACTCATTATTTCTAATGAATTGTAGATAACGTTTATGGTTACAGAATTCATTGCTTTCCTTGTTTCAAATACCTCATAAAATATCACAATTTGTGAATTATGACTATCATATGTTTCATCTCATTATCGAGATCCTAACCAGTCACCCATAATAAAAGTGAAGAGATGAGGAGAAACGGATTAGCTCGTATGAAGAACATATCATTTCCACATTCGAATATTTTGGGCAAAATAAAAAAAAAAGTGAAAACTTGTAACCACTTCTCCTTTTCTGCAAGCAATGTAAGGAAACAATGTTCTTTCTATTAAATAAAAGGTATTAGCTACACCTCCATTAACATACATTAATTTCAACAAGAACAGTAAGCTGAATGAACGTTTGCTAATAAGCTACTTCTCTCTTCAGAAACTATGCCAGGGTAGCAGATATTTAAAATGTCACGTACCTGTACAAATCAAACAGAACAATTTGGTGAGCCTCCTCGCTTTCTTATTCTAATCTGCTTTAAAAATAGTTCAAAGTAGTTCATGTTAATTTTTCTGAAACAACGAGGCTTTCCGTGATTTATGCTTAAAATAAAGGTAATCTATAGTTTTTACTTCCTCGCGCTTAAGGAGGAATCTCATAAGAAGAGAAAGTTTTGCAATGCTGCGCGTGAAAACGTGCAAATTTAGGCTAGAAAACTCTTATATGACCCATAGCAGCGAAAAAGTTGAGAGATTCATTTGTTAAATTAAGAATATAAATATATAACAATATATAATATATAACATATATATAACAATATATAACACACACACAAAACACACGTAACACATATATAATATATATAATACATAATACATATAATACATAATACATTTTCTCATATATAATGGGAACAAATAGTCATCAGTTCCAATTGACCATTTAGTCCTCTTCAAGGAAACGTACGAGAACAATAAATTAGTTCTAGATAATGTGAAAAACCAGGAGCAGATGTGTCAGATATGCGGAGATCTTAAAGTTATCGGCATGCTTCTTGGTCAATAGTCGGGTTCACGAAACTGTCATGTTTTTTATGTGAATGGGACAGCAAAGCACGATCTGACCACAGGACTAAATTGGTAACGGAGAGAATATTGTTCCAGGAACCAAAAATATACTGTATGAGAGTCTTGTGACCCCAAAAATGTTCATACTTCTCCTTTACACATAAAATTTGGTCTTATGAAGAAATTTGTTACGTTCTAATGTCCAGACACAAACCGAAAAACAAGCATGGACGGCTTTAAAAACATCCTAGGAAATCACAAGAATACAAATTATAAAAATATGGCAAAAAATATGTTTGGAAAAGTTTAGACAGTAAGGGTTTAATGTGAGTGTTAAAGAACATTTCCTACACTCTCACTTACATTTTGTGCAGAAAAGCTTGATAGTGTCAGTCAGGAGCAGGATAAAAGATTTCACCAAGACATCAAGGAGATGGAACAACGATATCAGGGAAGGTGGAATATATGTTAGCAGACTATTGCTGATCACTGGTAAGAGATGAAAAATCGCTTTTCACGCACGAAAATCAAAAAAGCGTTCTTTTGAAAATATGAAAATTCTATGTTCAAATAAAAGACATTTCTTGATAACAGTGCTCAAACATTGTTTCTATTAAATATTTTTGTTTACTTTTTGTATTTAAAAAAGTAAATGTATCCGAGTCGAAAGTAAAGCTATACTTTATTATTGCTTGAATTGTATAAAACCGACACGTGATGAACCAAAACGGATTTCAAATTTATACTTAGCATGGTCACGTTAAAGTTATCCACCTATTCAAATAAAAAACCAAGCCAAAAAGGTAAAATTTGAAGATCAGTGTTATCTGGCGTTTAGAGCCTCGTTCATGTCCTCGCATATTCTCTAATTTAGGGAAATAATATAAACACATCGATGAAGGAGTGAAAAACACCCAGGATAGGAAAGATCTCAGCATGTGAAAAGCATCTAAAAATTTTATTTTAGTCTGTTTAGACATTTAAATAGGATGACAAAGAAATGATGGCGAATGTGCAAGTTTACTGTGTGGCTTCTGATACCTCACATTCAAAGGTGCGCTTTTGCTAACACTTCGGAATCGTTCGTCAGAAGGATATTGCCTCTTTCGTGGCAGTAGCACATATACTAAGACGGATTTGTGTTGATGACTTCTTAAAAATATTACGAAATATTTCCTTTACATGTAAATATAGAAGGGATTATTATGAAGAAAAAGTTAATTTTTACGATGTTTAAGCTATCGTCTAAGTGATAGACAAACAAAATCCTAAATAGACTGAATAATACATGTTCACAAATTCTTCATTGATTTCATATCATGATTCAGATTGTTATTGGGAATTCCACATTGTTCGATGTGGGAGGTAATGAAGTAAATATGGGAAGAACACATACAATAATAATGGACACTAATAATTGATGTATGAGTATAATGATTAGTTCCAAACTTACCATCAAGAAAGGGACGTATTTTTTTGATAATTTCCGTGTTTTATTTCCAAATAAAGATTTTGAAGATATAAGCAATTGGAAATAAGTGTTCCAGATCTCAAATATAGCTTGAGGGTTTCTTCCAATTATCATATATCCAGGACAGTCGCCTCGGCGGCCTCCGAATTCCATCACAAAACTAAAGCGAGTGTGCTGTGATAAATACTTCAGTAAGAGCAGCGAGACTTCGTCGTACTCCTGAGTTAACACAGGGAAGCACTGGACGTCGTAGGCATTGAAAACTGCCTCGACAACCGTTGTCGCGAGCCTCTCTATTCGGTCCTTGTGCTCTTCATCAGTTGTGAGCAGCAGGCAGGCAGCCAATAGCGCCTTCCATGACGCCATGGCTTCCCTTTATTCTGAAAAAAAAAAAGAGAATGCAAATACAGTGGCCGGGTGGGGTGCAACCTCATTTTGTGCAGTGGGGCATTAGATCTGCGCGAGAAATCTCGTATTTGAATTCCCGCTCTTTCGTCCATCCTATCCTTTAAGAAGGAACGTTATTAATGAAACGTGTTTATTTGTTAAAAAGTGAACAAATGTTAATTTCGTACTTGCAGAATATCACACAAAAATTAAAACAATGCAATTGATGTTGGAAACAAATTTTCAATAGTTTTATTCTGAATTATAGAGAAAAGGTTCTTCGAACAATTCAAACCTTCTTAAAACCTTTGAAGAAATTATTCATTCTATCTTGACAGCTTTTCGCTTTCCCTTTTAGTCACAAAAATATTAGAAAAGGTTTTTGCCTTTTGAAAAAGACAAGTTAAGTTTTCCCTGCGAAAATACAGGATTGCGAAACTACAACCTTACTGTTTACAATATTATTTAACTTCCCTGGATTTGTTATGAGGAACCGAGAGGGTTTTGGAGGGGGAGGGCGCCAGCTGGCTGGGGTGCGAAAATTGAAAAATTTGTATACGAAAAAGTATTTGATTATTTTCTGTGTTTTTACGTACCTCAGGAAAAGCAATTCCGAGCCAAAAAATATAAAACTAATATTTTCACCGTTGAGAAATTAATAACCATTTGTTACTGTTAGAAACAATTTAGTACGCTTAGACTTCTCTTCGGTTAATGGGAATTTTGCTCAAACGATGTTTACATACTGAATATCTGATCGAACCGCCGCCTTATGTTTGATATTAAACGGTGTATAATTTGAAATATAGCTAGAAATACGGGCGATTACCCGTTTAAAAAGTGGACAAATAATTCCAAAGCATAAGTCATTGCATTAGACGCGCAAGCATTCAATCTACTCGCCACAACAACGCCTCTGTACAAATGTCTGGCTGCTCTCTCCCCACTAATTGCCTCCCCCCACCACTTGCACTTTCGGCGCTGTCGCAGGGAGACTGGCTCTCAAGTGGCGAATGCCCGCGGGGGCGGACGTTGTGCAAGCCCGGTCGAACATACGAACGCAACCCAATGGTGGAAAGATATGGATGAGCTACTCCGGCACAAAGATTTTTGCTCGATCTCCGATGCACCAGTTTGGGACATGAACCATGTGATCACAGCGTGGGCACTTGGCTAGAAAAGCCAGGCCCAGAAACTGGCCGCCATGTTGCATGGAGAATGAGTAGTGTTGAGAAACATTTTGACAGTGACATAAAATGAGAATTATCAACGGTGACCAATCAAAAATAAGACGATGGTGTCAAGACCCAATACTTAAAAGAAATGCTTCTGTTTCAATGACTTGTAGACAATTTTGGAATATGGCAGCATTTAAAATTCCCGCTAAATTGGGACGCAAACTGGTCCGTGAAGCTCATTGGCTAAAGTCGGATATAATGCGCAGTGGTTCACCCATATATTTTCATCAGAAGTAATCTTTACCTACTTCTACAATCTCCATTGTTTGCGACGAAACATGCTTCGCTCTAAATACTCAAAGAGGCCAGGACTGCCAACTTTTTGAAAGCAAATTACGTAATGGCTCAGCTTTAATTATCATACGTGAATGGCAATGAGATCACCGGTGAATTTATACATTTCTGACCAAAATAATATTAATATATTTATGGAAGAATTCAATTTCTTGGGTGTTAATTAAGAATTAGGAGGAAATTAGTATTTCTGAAGTTTGTGCCCATGACCAAGCAGAGAATCCCGAGTAAGAGAGTTACTGACAACCAGAAGTGTGCTGCGCTCTCGTGCACAAACGAGCAACTTGCTCGTAAGCCTCTTTCCGCAGTCATATGCAAGCGTAGGGATCTCCGTGACAAGAGTGAAGAGGGGAGGGGAGGAACCTCACCTTCGGCGCTGCGTTGTTGCCTGTCGCTACCTTGCGGCAGACGCTGAAAACATTTCAGCGCCTAAACAAATAAGACTAGTCGTCACAATGCGCCGAATTCCATCACAGGAAATCACTTTAAAATTAATACAAAACGGGCTTCGCTCAACGGATAGCGTGTGTAATTATCAATACAAAATTTAGGGTTCTTTGATTTACATTTTTCGCGATACTCAGCATCAAAAAAGTCCCCTGGCACTACACCACTGGATATAATACTCTTGCCCTTCCTGGAAAGGTTTTCACCATGGTCCTGCCGAGAAAATGAACAATTCTTCCACTCCTCTCGCGACCACGATCAGCAGCGGTGGTTTGCGGACGTTACCAGGGCCCTATAACTCCCATATAACGTGGTGGGGACCATTACGGTGGCGCGCTCTGCTGCATCACCTTCTTTACACGAACTAAAACAGGAACTGCTGCCAACGATTCTTTAAACGTGCGTGACTGCTACGTGAGTTCGCGGGTCGCAAGCAGGACCATAATGGTACAAAAGATAATGTCTACGTTCGTGCTTTCTTCAGAGGTTTCTTACAAGTAGTGATTATGAATAATTGTACATTTAGAAGACACTTTTCGTATTTGTCACAAATTAGCCAATTTGTAAGTGGGAAAGTTGGCGAGCCTAACCTGCCGGCGACACTAGCGCTTCCTATAGTAGCAACCTCGAGCTTTGTCCCCGATTTTGATGGAGAGTTGCCGGGCCCTGGACGTTACCAGCTCCGCTGTGCTCATCTTATGTGCTAATTGTGTGGTAACGATGTTGCGAACATCACGGCCACCGTCCTTCAAAATTCACTACAGAGCTCTACTCGTTAGAAACGTAAAGTAATAGTGAATTATAACACTTAAAACTGAGAAACATGTTCTCATGTGAAAGAAAATAAACTAGAATAACGTTTTAAAAATAGTCCGTTTTTGCTGCCCTTCTATCTTAGTGAGGTTGGCGTACTGGCTGTTTCTCCAGCTATGTATCTTATAACAACAGCTATGTCGATAGTAAATAACAACGATTGAACTTATGAACTAGGTATTCCAAATGTTACACTTGAGAACTTATCGCGAATAACTCAAAGTGCAAACATTTTTGAATTAGAACGACAAATATATTGCAACATTAATAATTACGGAAACCACAACCACAACAGGCAAAATAAAAATTATTATATTCTCAACAGCAACATCAAAGGTAGCCGTTCAAATGAAACCAATTACGTGCAATATGCAAGTTCTTTACTTCATGGTGAGTGCAGTGCAGTAGCAAATTTTCGGATACACCGCATATACCGACGGTATACCTAGTAATTCCAAATGTATAAGAAATGTTTCATCAGTATGATTATCCCCTAAAAAGTTATTTTAATTTTGTGCGTCTTTACAACAGATGCGAAAAATAACACTGTATTGCTCCCCGGAGCCAGACTTCCGCATCCGTCTGCTCTATTAACTACGTTAGAGGGAGAAGTTATCAATAGTTATCAATATTGCCCAGAGAATTCGCTAGTGCACGGCTGGCGCGCCATACGTGCCAACTGCGTAAGCCTTCACGTCATGTTCAAATACTATAAAGACTCTATAGTATTTGTCATGTTTCATGGGTGAAGAGAGGGGAGAATGCGCGGTTGGACGGCCGGTAGGCACCGCAAAATATTGCGGTCAACAGTATTTTGTTAGTCATTCGTAAGTTTCGCTTCTCTCATGCTTTTGTGAAAATAGCGTGTGTTGAAGATCCTTAAAATAGTAGTTCGGGTGATTGTTTTATAGAACAATTATTAAGGGCTGAATATTACATTATTGTCTTTTATTTTCAGCTTTTCTGTACACCAAATAATGGTGTACAGAAAAGCTTAAAATAAAAGACAACGGTAGGCCCACACCAGAACTTCTAGGTTGGTCTGCAAAAATGTCAAGACAGGAAGCGAAAGTACAGCAGACATATCTGTACTTCTAATTATTCTAGACACAAATAGTTAATAGTGGCCCTAAATTCAACAAACTTTATTGCTCACCGTGTCTTCTTTTTAGCAGTGATACGTGTAGTAACGTTTGGTCAAAAGAACGATTCGACAATATAGTTTCCCTTGCTATTTTTTAAGTAAGCATAAAAAGAAAAGAAATTATGTATTTTGCGCAATTACACTGTGTAATTACGGTAATATCCGAGTAGACTTGCAACTAAATGCTCAGAATGCTTTACAAATTTCGAAACGCAACGTAATGGTAAAGAAGAACTAGGCTGATGAGGCCACTTTACAACAACATGCAACATGCAAAAACATGCTTTCATGGGTCGCGATGAATCACAAACGCAGTTTAGTAAAGAAAATTACATAGAAAGATTAAATTACTCAGCACATATGATCATCTCCTAAATGATAATTTGCAAAATGCAACAGTTTTCAGGGGGTACTTCATCTGCTATCCAGAACGATTTAATCGAAGCTGTACGTAAGAGGAGCTATGATACATAAAATTGCAAAGCAGCTTGCCCTTGCCAATTTCGTATCCATTCTTCTATTAGAGTGTTCAACCATAAATGATAAATCACATCTCCCTAGCATTATGCGTTATGTGTACAAATCTGATGAAGTTCAAGAAAGGTTCATTGGTACAGACGTCAGCGAAAATGGATCTGCCAATGCGCAGTTTGTCACATCCGTGAATGATTTTAATCTAGGCGAGAAACTCGTCGCTCAAACCTATGATGGTGCGGCCGTAATGTCTGGCCATTTAAGGGAGAAACATTTTAGAAACCCTGAATCCTGTGATCTTGGATCCGAATATAAGGGATAAACGAAAATTAGAATCTATAAATATATGATTGAAAGTGATATATGGTATCGAGAAGAAATATGACAAATTCCAGAGCAACATAAAATAAAATTGGTGCTTTCAAATGGATTTCCTCAGAAATGCTGCAGCATTATCTGAAAGGGAAATATTTAGAAATGAAAGGGTTAAGAAAATAATGATTCTGCAGCGTGATATTATAGAGAAAATGTACAGCAAATTGACGAGTAAAGATCGTGGTAGAATGGGAATCAAGTGAAAGGA